GCACACGGACTCGAAACATATTGAGCTGGAACGTATAATGGAATATATGAATACCATGATTCTTTGCTTTCAGGAAACGTGGGTTCCGAAATCGAGCGTTTTCGTGTCAGATGCCGGTTATTTGGTCATACAGTCAGGCGGCCAAGAAACATCTACGGACAAGGTCGGGGTGGGGTTTCTCGTGGCACCTGCCGCCAGGAGATACGACGTGAGCTCCTGCCAGGCGTCCTCACGGATGGCTTCGCTGAAAATCAGAGTACCGGGGGGCAGAGCCGCCCTCTTCTCGGCGTATGCTCCGCACAGCGGCAAGGAATTCCAGGAGCGCCAGGACTTGCACCATGAGTTTGCCGATCTCTTTGAAACTCGATCGGCGCATGGCCCGAAGATCGTACTTGGTGACTTCAATGCAAGACTGCACGAAAGGGGAAGAAGAGGAGTCCGTGGTACGCCCACGCACATTCCAGCACCCAGGAGCCAACGTCAAGCCGGACGCAAACAGGTTCATGATGTCAGAGACACAGCGGCTGCGCATGTGCATTGCCGACGCTTTCTTCGAGGGGCCGCAGGAGGACCTCGCGACGTGCTACAACGTCGGGTGCCCTCTCGGGCGCGCAGTGAGCCTGGCAACGCACTCACATATCGACTTCGTAGTCTGCGACCAGGACTGGCCCCCGAAAGTCGTGGACGCACAGGTGCGCCGCGAGGCGCCGCTTGCCTCTCACCACTTCTTGCTCATGGCGCGGGCGGGCGCGGCCGTTGACGAGCAGCGGAAGAAGCGACGGCCGCCCGAGCGCGACGCGCGCCAGCTGAACGAGGAGAGCACGCATTTAGCCTCCGGGCAGCATCTCTCGCGCACCCTGGAAGACATCGCCGAGCAGGACAATCGACGCGCCGACGTGGAGCTCGCGCGGAACCAGCCTGTCGACGCGTTCGGGCACGCGCCGTCCCAGTCCTTGCTCGAGAAGCCGATTGCCGCGCGGAGGCCGTGGGTGACGGAAAGTACCCTGCAGCTGATCGCCCGGCGAAGGGAGGCCCGACGCTCGGGAGACATTACTGCAGAGCGCAGACCCGCAAGACGCTGCCGGGGCCCTTGTCGACAACGACGCCAGGGCCACGACATTGGTCAATCATCTCGAGACGGCGCAATGGGCAGCGATGCCCGCGTCGGCGCTGCTGGACGAGAGACCACGCGGGCCTATCGCCGAAGGCGAAGTACGTCAGGCGGCCAGACAGCTGCGCCGCGGCAGAGCAGCCGGGAGGGACAATATCCCGCCGGAATTCTGAAAGGCAGCCGCTGGCGACGGCGAGGCCGCGCCGTCCTGGACCACCTCTTTCTGCAACAGGGTTTGGACGCAGACGCGGGTGCTAGAGGCGTGGGGAAGAGCCAGAGTTCGCATGATCTACAAGAAAGGTGATCCAGCGTTGTGCGACAAGTACAGACCCATCAGTCTACTCCCCATCGGCTACAACATATGGGCATCGATATAGCTGGTCCGTCTGGAAGACGCTGGCGCCGAATCCAAGAATTGGAAAACGCAATTTGGCTTCCGTTCTTGCTTGGGGGCGGCGGGCGCCATCTTCCTGTCAGAACGAGTGATAGAAGATGCGCGGGCGACCAAAAAAGGCGGGGGGCTGCTGCTCGCGCTGGACTGGGCGAGTGCGTTCGACTCGGTCTCGCCGACGGCGGACGGCGCTGGCGGTCTCTCTGAGAAGGAGTGGGCGCCCTGACCACTTCGCGCGCGCGGTGGCTTCCACGTGCCAGGACCGCGCTTTCATCGCGAACGACTGCGACGGGACGTCTGCCGAGCATGCCCAAGCGCGCGGCATGTGCCATGGCTGCCCGCTCCCCTCCTTCCTCTTCGCGATTGCGATGACCCCCCCCTCGCGGACGCGGGCAAGATGCCGCAGACGGACTCGGGGTAGCTGCCGGAGGGGAATTTCGCGAGAGGGCTCGTCTACGCAGACGACACCCTACTGATCGATAGCGACCCCGCGTCGCGCAGGCGCTCATGAAAGCCATCGGAACCTGCGGGGCGCATCGCGGGCTCAAATTGAACTAGCCACACGTGGATTTATTGAGGGCAAGATCTGACGCAGATATTATGAACGCATCTGGCGCCCCCGTCGCGCGCAAGAGCTCAATGGCACATTTGGGCGCCCGTCTTTCTGCAGAGGGCAGAATTGGACCTGAGCCCAGCTGCTGGATAGGGGCAAGAGGGCAATTTTGAAAGTTCTGAATTCTGCATGGGCGCATTCCACACTTAGCCGGGCGCGCGAGCTGAGAATCTTCAGCGCGTGCATTTGGGTCGGAAATTGTTATGCAGTCTTTTTGCTGTTTGCCTGGACAGATGCGAACGCAAACGGGGGGGCGGATTTCACGCCTGTTGCCTCCGGCAAATCTGCCGCGCGTCGTCGGCGCATGTCAGCCGAGTGTCCAATTCTGCAGTTCTCGCCATGGCCGGACAGAGGCCTTCGAGTGAGAGCCCCATGACACAGCAGATGCTCTTCGCGAGGCAACTCGCAAGACGCCAGGACGCAGACCCTGTGTGACGTTCTGTTTCCGAGTCAGCTGGATTGCGTCTCCGTCCCGCCAGGCCCACGCAGGCGAGGGCGCCCAAAACAATCTTGGGGCAGCACGGCCATGCGCAATTGTTTGTCTGTGGCTGGCTCTTGGGAAGGCTTGTCAGCATTCTTCTGTCAAGGAGACAGAGCAGCGGCTTCGTGGGAGTCAGCAGTGAAGAGGTGGATCCCAACGAAAACAGTGCAGATGTTCTCGAATAGTGTTATCCTGTTTCACCCTGCTCGCGCGCCGTCCAGCGCAAGGCTTGCGCTTGCTCGCTCGCTCGGGTCCGCGCGGCTATTTAGGATTGGCGCTGAACCCTCTTGGCGGCGCCTCCACGGCCGCCCGCTGTGCGTTCCGCGCGCCAGGGAGATCCAAGCAATCCGTTCGGACGTCCGATGTTTTTTTGTTCCGCTGGATACATTGACAACGCGTTCTCCGCGCGAACCAAGAGATCAGACATCCAGAGACGCAAGTGGACCCCTGTCGACTTCGCTGCGGTGGGGGGCGGGAGGCTAACCATAATGTTTTTTTTTGGTGGAGGTTGGCGCATCGCTGGCGCAGCCAACAAAAATCCGCTATACGGACGAGTTCAGTACGGAAGAAACCCTTGTATCCGTCCGTCCCGAGCATCCTTGTCATGTTTTCTCTGTGGCGTCGGGCGTCCTTGGCACCACCCGGTTCTGGGCATCCTCGGTTTCCAAATTTTCCTGCATCGCTACTCTGAGTACCTCAATAGTTCTGGGGTGCGCAATAGTCCGGGGGCGGCCCCTGTAGTCCGGGGGTTGGGCCCCTGTAGTCCGGGGTGGGTTTTTTGGGGGCCCTTGTAGTCCGGGGGGGGCCCTTGTAGTCCGGGGGGGGGGGCCCTTGAAGTCCGGGGGGGGGTCCCTGTAGCCCGGGGGGGGGGGGGGAGGGGCGGTGTGATCTTCGCGGGGCCACGTCCCGCTCGACGACCGCGGAGATGCGCGCCTGGCAATGCAGAGGGCCAGGCAAAGTGGCCACAGTTGCACGCGTGGCGGCAATGGACAGGAAGCGAGGAACAAAATTTGTTTTCCAAGTTTTGTTCCTCGTTTCCTGTCCCTTGTCAAGTTTTTGTTCCTTGCTTCCGGGTCATTGTAGTCCGGGGGTGGGTTCCTGTAGTCCGGGGGGGGGGCCCTTGTAGTCCGGGGGGGGGGTCCTGGTAGTCCGGGGGGGGGTCCCTGTAGTCCGGGGGGGGGGCCCTTGTAGTCCGGGGGAGGGGCCCTTGAAAGCCGGGGGGGCCCTGTAGTCCGGGGGACCAGAACTATTGAGGTACTCAGAGTACCAGCTCCGAAGTGCTTTTCCCCACCCAGCGGGCTGTGGCTGTTAGATCTAAAGGGAAGAGCTCCTGACCCGCCTTGCACACCCTGCCCACTGCGACCGCCCCTGGGCATCCCGCCTCGCATAGGCTTCGATGTCTCGACTTGTTCAGTGCGCGGCCCCCACAAGTCCAGACCTTCTCCACGTGGCCAACGCTTCAGCCCGAGTCGTCTGTTGACGTTCCCGGGGCCAAGCACGTGCTCCCGAGATGGAAAAAACGCCCGTCGTGTTTTTTTTCGCGGCGTCGGGTAGCGGGGGCATGGTCGCACGCGTACGCATTGATCATTCCTCATTATTCGATTTGTTTTGATTTGCTTGGGGCCAAGATCCTTTCAGTTCTAATTGTTCTATCCTGGGCCTCTTCCTGGCCACTCGGGGGCCAGGAACAATCAGAAACGAACGCAATTAGAAGTGATCACGATTAGAAATGAACGACGTGTAGGCTTCCTGGCACGGCGTGGCACGCTGCGGCCGCGGTACCAGGCGCTCGTCCGGCGGACTGTCCGGCGGGGGGCCTTCGCGCCGAAGAGCGCGCTCAGCCGCTGGAGACCGCCCGAGGAGACCGCTGAACGCCATCAGAGAACTGCCGAGGAACCTCCATGGTCGATGGGTGGCAAGATTTATTATGTTCCAGCCCTGTTTAGCCTTGATCGCCAGGAAGAATGTCGAGCACCCAAAAAGTACCGAAACTCTAAGGTTTTCACGTGTCGGGCCCTGGGAGACACTCGTCCGACACTGTTTCGACACTGTTTCGACACTTTTCCGGGCGCTCGAACTTGTTTTTGGGATGTGGTCCTCAAGTACGATGGGAGCCACGTAAAGCAAGGAACGACCCCTCCTCCTCTTCTGCTCCTCCTCCTCCATCTCCTCCCTCCCCCCCCTTTTCCTGTTCCTCCTCCTCCTCCTCCTCCTCCTCCTCATCCTCCTTCTCCTCCTCCATCTCCTCCTCCCCAACCCCCTGCTCCTCCTCCTCCTCCTCCTCCTGCTCCTCCTCCTCCTCCTCCTCCTCCTCCTCGGGTCGCCTACGGCCCCAGGGGGCCGTGCAGCGAGCAAGGGGTTCATGGCACGACGTGGCAGTGGCACGCTGCGGCCGCGGCGCCAGGCGCGCGGCTGGCGGACCCTCCGGGCGGGGGGCCTCCGCGCCATGCCCAGCGAGGGCGGGCGCCGGGCATCGCCCAGCGCAGGCGGGCGCCGCGCAGCGCACCGCCGCCCGCGCCCGGCCTCGGCGGAAACAGTAGGGAAACGAACAATGACATAAACATAAAGACTCGGAGGCCCGCGCGGATTTCTTGGATCGGCGCTGGGGACCCCTGGCGGCGCCTCCGGCGCCGCCCCTGGCGCGCTCCGCGCGCCACGGAGGGGGGTCCAGCGAGTACCCAAGAAATCCACGCGGACCTCAGAGTTTTCATGTTTATGTGATCGTTCGTTCCCCTAAGCAGAGCACCTCCGCGTGCTGGGACGGATTTGGCGTCTCCCGGCGGTTTCCCAGCCTCAAGGGACATCACCACCCACCAAACCACCCCAACCTAACCCGAAGGCCTCGATTTGCCCTCCATTTCCAGTGGGGGGAGGTTCGGGGAACATCGGAAAAACACATATGGAGCCCATACTCCCCGCCCCCCGAAATTCGGGTCTTCGTGTTGGGTTGGGGTGGTCTGGTAGGTAGTCAAAATAGGGCAGCCGGTGTGGACCTCAAACGGTATGTGTTTCTAGAAATTTGTGTTGTGCCGTCTTTGGAAATCTATGTGGCGCAATCGTTTGGCAATCTATGTTGTGTAATCGATGAGGTGCATCTGCGTGGTGGAATTCACCCAGTCGAACTTGAAGCTGCAACTCCACTGCTCGCGCAATCACCCCACCCACCGACCCGCAACTTGGTTTGCAAATCCCATGGGGCGGCGATTGCGATGACTTCTTGGCGCTGGCTGGCGCATCGCTGCGGCCGCGCTAGTGCACGCAGGCTCGCGCGCAGAGCGGCTAGCTAGTCTGAACTTCCCAGCGCGTCTCGCAGGCCGCGCTGACGCGCGGGCACCCCAATGCGAGTCGGTGATTCGGGCGGGCGCGGTATCATGGTGAGGTCGGCACCGGCAGACACAATGATGATAGTAGCGATGCTTGTGGCAAATGGTGACACTGACGACGACAATGCCAATGGCGGCGCCGATTTTGATCACGCCAGTAAAAGGTTTTGGAAAGATTTTGACATGCGCGCGCGGCCGACGGGCGCGAGTGGCCCGTACCGTTTGTCGGCAGGTATCGTGCCCCCCCCCAGCACGAGCGCAGTGCGCTTGAATGATTCCGACATGCGCGCGCGAGAGGCCCGCTTGGTCGCATTTGACGAACATGTTGAAAACCCTTCAGTTTTCGCTGGACTTATTCACGCTTCGCGTGCCCCCACCAGCCCATTGTGAAACCCTGTCGATGAGAGGGTTGATGAGGAAAGGGGGCGAAGAGACACATGTCGTGAGACAAGGGCAAGCAGGGTGAACATCGAGATCCCTGGGAGCAAGGGGGGTGGCCGTGGAGGGCCTCTTCGGGCCATCCCTGGAGCCCGCGCGGGGGCAGAAAAAGGGGATGATGATGATGATGATGATGATGAGGAGGAGGAGGAGGAGGAGGAGGAGGAGGAGGAGGAGTTTGAGGAGGAGGAGAACCAGCATAAAACAAACGCCCAAAACGATGTTGCGATACACCCTCCCTCCGAATGTCTCCTTCACAGGCCCCATACAGAGGTTCATTTTCACTGAAGGAGTTGCTCCGCTGGAACACAACAGTTCGAGAATTTCGAATGGTGCCAGAGCGCCTTTCTTAGGACTTCAACGCCGTACACCGCAATTACTGTTTCGTCTTGACGATCCGGAACCGTGCCAGAACACCATACTTGGGACTTCAACACCACGAGTCAACGAACTGTTGCGCCTTGACAGTCCGATTTCGCACCACAACACCATCTCTGGGACGTTGCCCTTGAGAAACTTTCGGCGCTGTCGTGAGCTCGTAAACGAATGTGCGCGGCGCTCGCGCGAGAACCGCATGTTGAAAAGGAACCGCCCTCCATCCGCGAAGCTTGTTCAGACGAGGTTGCGCGGCGCACAGGCGCGAGCCACAGTTTGAGAGCGACGTGCCTTCCACCCGTGCAACTGTTGCACTTCTCAACACGAATCTGCGCGGCGCGAAGGCGAGAGAGCCGCATTTTGTGCCCTCCACCCGTGCAGCCCTTGTATTTGTGCCATACGATTGTGCGCAGCGCTCCGGCGAGAGCCACGTTAGGAACACGACCTGCCTTCCATCCGTGAAGCATTTTACAAGTTGTGAGACGGATGTGCGCGGCGCAGAGGCGAGAGTCACATGTTGAAAACGTCCCGCCCTCCATCAGTGAAACTGTTGCAGAGCCTGAGCTTCAGGAGCATACATGGCGCGGAAGTCTTAGGCGGAACGCCCGGCCCGCTTTTTCGATCGGACCCGGGGTGCGACAGGGAGGAGCTATTCGGAGGACAGCGAGGCCGAGGACAGAGCCATCAAAATCACTTCTTGGCGCCCTCTTGGGACTCTGTCGGGGGATCTTGCGGGGTCTTAGGGCCCTCTTGGGGCCCTCCACGAGCCCATTTGAGGGCCTCTTGGGGCCCTCTACGAGCCGCTCTTAGGGCCCTCTTCGGGCGTTCTTCGGGCGCTCTTGGGGCCGTCTGGGGGTTCTCAGCTACCCTGGGGCCCACACCCCCCCAGACGCCCTCGCGTCGCGACCAAAATTCGGCACCGTTGAACCATCTCCATCCCCATCCCGATCCCCACCATCCCACCACTCCAGTCGGAAATATACCCTCGAAGCCTGGCTATGTCCATAACTGGTGTTTGGTGTGTTCCCACAGCTTGCGTCGTTCGCGCGTGGGACACAGCGGGCGCGTGGGAATCCCCTTCCTGCGGTGTCGAAGAATTACTGACTTCGGAGATGAGGAAACGCACTTTCGCAAGGTTTCAGACTCAGAAAATTAATGTTTCTGTGGGTTCCCTGGAGTGGGAATTATGTTTTTCGGCAGTTTTCCTGGAGTAAAACATAGGTTTACGATCTTTCGTCGGACGCGAAAACTATGTTTTATCATTTTTCCTGAACGAGAAAGTGTGTTTCCGGTGATGCACTAACATCCGTTAGCATTGTCCAAGGCACGGGCCATCGTCTCTTTGGATCGCCCAACCTGGCCAGGCAGGCAGGTGGCGCACGCTTGCGCTCTCGTGACGGTGATGGAACCGCACATCAACAGTGACCTGCCTCCTCCACTTGCTTGTCCTCCTACTCATGGTCTTCCTCCTTCCTCCTCGTTAGGACAGTTTCGTTATCTTCGAGGGGCCTATCGAGCCGCGCCCGAAGTCTGAGCCGTTTGATTGGGGTTTTCCATGCTAGCCGCGCCTTTTGGGCCGCCATCCCGAACCAGACGGCTCGTCGTCATGATCGTTCTGGCGGCCCGCCCCCGCCGAGCTTGACGCCGCCGTCGGTCAGCTTTCTCCTCCTCTTCCCTTTTTCCTTTTCGTAGCTTCCTTTCTTCCTCCTCCTCCTCCCCTTCCTCCTCTTCCTCCTCCTCCGCCTCCTCCCCGGTTTCCTCCTCCTCCTCCTCCGTTTCTTGTTTCTTCTCCTCCTCCTCCTTTTCTTCCTCCTCCTCCCCCCCCTCCTCCTCTCCCTCGTCCTCCTCTTCTCCCTCGTCGTCGCCCTTCTCCTCCTCGCCCTCCTCCTCCTCCATCCTTGCAAGGGCCCGTTGGAGCGTGGGCGTCTGTTTCGGCTTGGCGTCTCCGTGCCCGGGAATGGTGTTGGCGAATCAAATTGACGAATCCTATTTTGAGGCCCCCCCAGGCCCCCAGGCCCCCAGCCTCGGACCGTGCTAGTGCGACTCGTAGTAGACTCTAAAGATTGTCCGCCAGCGGCAAGGCTCTTGCAGCGCTTCCAACAATGAGTAAACGCATTCTGCCATAGTTTCGGGATTAACGCATTGTTCTGCGGCGCGCGCCGCGCCCGAGGCGAACCCGAACTCCACAGAGGAGAAGAGCGACGGGAGGAGGAGGAATCCACATAATAATAAGATAAGGTCCTCCTCCTCATCCTCGCCCTTCCTTCTCCTCAACCTCCGCCTCCTCTTCCTTGCCGTGCTCGTCTGCCAGGCCCTCTCCTCGCCCTCCTCCTCCTCTACCCCCCTGCCCCCGCCCCACCTCGCATCGCGCTCCCCAGAGATGAGACTGGGTTCGGAGGGGCGGGGCGCGGCCGGCGCCCGAAGATTCGGGGGGACTCGCGTCGGCACGTCGCCCCGCAAAGGCCCCCTCCTGTCACCCTCAGGCTTCCCCTCTCTTCTCTTATTGACTCTTAGTCCTCATACGTACCTGCCTTGCCGTCCTCCTCCTCCTGGTCCCCCTCAGCCTCCTCCTCCCTCCTCCGTTCTTCCTCCTCCTCCTCCTCCTCTTCCTCTTGCTCCTCCTCCTCCTCCTCCTCTGCATCTTGCCCCTCCTCTTGCTCCTCCTCGACTCCTCGCCCTCCTCCTTCCCTTTTCGCCGCCGCTGCTGCCCGCCGCCCCCGCAGTTGCGGCTCGCAGTTCACTGGCCGGCCCGGGCGGCCGGGCCAGCACGGCCCACACGGCCCAGCTCAGTTCAGCTGGGGCCCGCCGATGTCTCGGCGATGGCCGCTGGCCTTGGGCGCCGCGGGCAGGACGGCGCGGCGGCAATTTCCCCGGGCCCCCCCCCCTAGAGAGAGGGAGACAGAGAGAGAGAGTGAGAGAGAGAGAGGGAGAGAGAGAGAGAGTGTGTGAGAGAGAGAGAGAGTGAGTCCGAGTGAGATAACAAAACATATAGATAGAGAATACGAAGGTGAGAGAGCGAGACAGAAAGAGAGAGATAGAAAGAAAGAGAGAGAGAGAGAGAGAGAGAGAGAGAGGATAACCTTTACAAACAAAAGACAACAAACATAACACATGTCATGATATGCGACAGAGGGGGGAATAATGAGATAGAGAGAGAAAGAGAAATATAAGGAGAAAGAGAGAGAGGGCAACTGAGAGAACGAGAAAGAGAGATGGAGAGAGAAATATAGATAGAGAGAGAGAGAGAGATAACATAACATAAAAGAGAAAGTGAAAGAGAGAGAGAGAGAGAGAGAGAGAGAGAGAGAGAGAAACAAAAAAAAAAACATATGGAGAGAGAGAGAGAGAGA